CCCTAAATAATAAAAAAATAAATTACAGTGAAACCAATGAAGATTTTGTAGGTTTTGAACCAAACTAAATAACAGTAAACCTTTTTTTTTATTTTGATGTTTTGAGCTCTTTTGTGTTTAGAACAATGTATACAAATTTTTAGAGTATCAAATTGAATTTTTGTTCAATAAAAATCTTTGAAATGCGACTGTAGCTTTTTTCCCCCCAAAACTTTGTGTTTAAAATAAGGGTGCGTCTTATATTCCGAAAAATACGGTAACTGTTACAGATGACATGTAACATCATGAGGGTTACACTTCCTTTCAATTATACCTTTTTAAATGATAACTGCACTAGGATGTTAAAAAAAGGCTTAATACATCAGCATTCAATACCGACAAGAAAGATAATATAAACCTCTGAAAAACAGAATATATACTATATATACATATATATTCAAGTTATTTAAACATTCAGAAATGCTTCCATCAGTAACAGTATTACAAAACAAAGTTTAATTTGTTAATCCAAAACCTCGGGTACCTAAATCTACATAAACAAACTTCAATATGTGTGTGTGTATCTGTTCCTTATACGTTTTCACATTTCTTGATCAATCAGCACAACTTGACACAATGATATAAGTGAGGAAGGTCATGAGGGGGATTGGATCCCCCCATCTAATTTCATATTGATAGAATTCTTGAAAACAGTATGTCTTTCTTTTCCAGTATTGGTACCCTTATGTATTTTTATTGCACTTATAATGTTTATTATTTTAAGTAAAAACAATAAAAGTACAGTTTCCTATCCTTTGTTACAAACGAGTTTTTATTTCACCCGTCTAATGGACTGATACTCCAGCTAGTATACAATAAAGTACGTACCACAAGGCCCTGAACAATGTAAGTATGCACAAATCTTAAATTATTTGCCTAAGAGAACATTAGATAGGCTTATATTTTATGTACAAGAAGGTCGTCGTTATGTGTATCACATTTTATTGAAAAAACTGGACAAGTGAGCAAGAACAGGTTGAAAGCGAGGTCGTGTTTAAGTTATCAGCTTTTTAGATAGTGACAAGGCTCACCAAGCACCCATACGTAAAGTTCTCCTTTACCTCAATACGGTGTACGTGTTCTGTTGTATCGTTCATACAGGTTTTACCTCAGTATGACGCATAAGAGTCTACATGTCATATCGTCCACAAACGTGTAGTTTGGATCTTATCTTTTTCCTCTTCCACAGATAACGATATTTAAAAAAATGATCAAAGACCTTAGACGTTAAAAATTGGATTTTCAGTTCGTTAATTTGTAAAACAAATAAACAATGGATCAATGTGCTAAGTTAATGTAAAAGCATCCAATAAAAAATCACTTAGTCTTATCTGCAACTAAAATCTTAGTTTTGAGGTTAGAAAATGGCCTTAAAGTCTTGTCAACAAACATGCTTTTCAGTACTATTTTTAGAAACTTTAGCAGCGCATGACGTTTATAATTTATTCATACCCCACATAGAATACAAGGACTTTAACACCACTTAACTAGTGTTGAACACTCTGAGGCAACGAAATGCTTACAAACAAACGGTGTTTATACGTAAAGGGCGGGATAAGACGTATAGTACATTTGTTATTATACGGTTGGCACTATATAAGTTATTACGAAAACAGCTCGGCATGGCCAGGTGGTTAGGGCGCTTGACTCGCAATCTGAGGGTCGCGGGCTCGAATCTCCGTCCCACCAAACATGCTCACCCTTTCAGCCGTGGGAGCGTTATAATGTGATGGTCAATCCCAGTATTCGTTGGTAAAAGAGTAGCCCAAGAGTTGGCGGTGGATGGTGATGACTAGCTGCCTTCCCTCTAGTCTTTCACTGCTAAATTAGGGACGACTAGTACAGATAACCCTCGTATAGCTTTGCACGAAATTCAAAGCAAACTAAAGCACTAAAACCAATTTAATTATTGCTTGTTTCAGAGTAAAAGATATTCGAAATTAAACTGGGTCCTAAATTAAACAACTGTGTAGTCACTTTTGGAACACACTGTATATATATATATATATATATATATATATATGTGTGTGTGTGTGTGTGTGTGTGTGTA